CCCTAAGCCCCCGCCCCTCCCCCGCCTCCACTGTGTGTTCTGACCCCTTCCTTTCCCCCGTCCCTCTGCTGACTCCTCCGCAGCGTAGAGCCCCTGGGGAGGGCGGGGGCGTTAGGGTTCCGGGCCTGGGCCTGGGCCTTGGGGTATGGTCGAGGCGTGTCGAGGTGAGGTCACAGGGGTCGGGCGGAGGGAGGCGGGAGGCGCTTCGGGCCTCTCCTTCGCTCGGGCGCCCTCTGTGTTCCAGGCAAGGCGGGGTACTGAGAACGCGCCACAAGCGTTCCAGAGGGCAGATCCCGCGGGGCTTGAGCGGTCTGAGGGTCTGACAAGGGCAAGGAGCCAGGGTCTGGTGGAGGGGGAGGTCGGAAGACTCACCAGGCAACCGGGTCGGGGAGGGTAGGGGCAGAGAGAGGGGCTGCACCTGCCTCAGTCTCTAGAAGGAAAGCGGCGGCAGGAGTTAGGGTACCCACACCATCCAGAGGAGCTGACCACCCGGCTCAGCGGCCTGAGGCCACCCAGCAGTGTCCGGCCAGTGGCTGGAAGGTAACCCCAGCAGAGCCTGACGCTGCCACCATATGTCCGACGGGCCCAGCTAGCTGTGGGGACACGGGCAGCCTAGGGGACACTGTCTTTCGCGACCCTGCTCCTTCCCCCAGAGTCCCAGAGGTGCAGACAAGCAGCCTGCTGGAGGTGGAGATGGACAGCAGGAAGCTATCCCGCCTGGGGAAGAAGCCAGAGCCACCACTCTCCCCGGAGCTCAGGCGGGCCTCTCCCTCACTGGGCAGGACGGCAGCCTGGGCTCAGCCCAGTGCCCAGAGCAGTGCTCAGCAGGGACTGCAGACTCAGGACTGGGTAAGCGAAAGAGGCGGGCGAGGCCACCCTCCCATCCTCTCTGGATACTCTAGGAATTGGCTCTGGGGTGGGCGGGTTGCTGCAGGTGTGGAGGAGAGGCCTCAGGGGAGGGCTGAGTGGGGCTGACACCAGCAGATGCTGCATTTGGGGGCTTTTCACCATAGCCCTTGGTGGGCACCCAGTTAGACTTGTGCCCCTCTTACCTCCCAGAAGCTGCATGCCTCTGCTGGGCACTGGAGGAGCCGCCTGAGGCAAGGAGAAGGTATGGGACACACCTGCCTCAGCCCTCCCCAGTGCCCTGGTGAGAGCACTCACTCCTCCAACCCCCAGGTGGAGGGTGGTGTGAAGCAGGAGGGAGAACGAGGCCTCCACAGCAGCACAGTGCCCTCCCGACCAGGTAACCTGGCTGTTGGTGGAAGGATTTGTCACGGAAAGTCGTGACTAAAACAACAGGGTCATAGTGGCTGTACTTATGACAGCCCCAATCTGGAATCAACCCCCTGTCCACCCACTGCTGGACTGAGCAGCTTGCTTGGTCATGCACAGTGGTGACACTGGATGGCCACAACTGCTGCAGACCCGGGATGCTTCATGAGCAAAAGAAGCCAGACACCCCCTCTCCACCATGTTTTACATACATGGAAGGTCTAAAGCCAGGCCAGGCGGGCCTGGGCTGGACAGGACAGGCGCATGAGGGGCCCCGGGCACTGGCAGTGCGCTTTCTTGGTCTGGGTATTGGTCATGGGGCCAGGTCAGTGTGGAGAGCCCATCGAGTCTTGTGCTTAGGCATCTGTGCATGTCTTCCTGTGTGTTCACCGAGGTTAAAGGTTTACATAAAATAGTGGCGGAAAAAGAAAATGGGTCCCCAAAGCTGCCCACCGCGACCACCTTGTGCCTTCCCAGTCACATCCTCTGGATGCTGAGTTCTGGGGACACTGCAGTGATCAAACCAGCAGACCCTGGGCTTTCATGAGGCCAGTATCTCATGACAGGCCCTGCAGACCATAAACACACCAAATTGTCCCTTGTTAGGGGTGAGGATTGCTCAGGAGGGACACGAGGTACAGGCTTCCATCCTGGGAAGGACCACAGGGCGCTATGGCTGAAGGGACAAGGACATGGGGATGCAGGGGGAGGATGTGTTAGACTTATCTTCTCCTGCAGGGATGGAGGGGCAGAGTGGCTCTTGGGCAGGGGTGACCAGGCCGTATTTGCAGCTCCGGGAGATGGACCAGCAGCTGTGGGGAATGGGGGATGAAGCAGAGGCAGGAGAGCAGGGATGAAGGACCCAGCAGTAGAGGAGATGGGTTGGTGGCTGAGGGCAAGAAGGGGGCACAGACACATCTCCACGACTCCCAGGTTTTTGGTTTGGGGACAGGGCGTCACTGCATGAGGCTTCGCTGGCCACCAAGCCCTGCCCCAAGCCCCACGTGGTTAATGCATTCTTCATCCTCCCCTTTAAAAGTGAATGAATGGCCAAGGAGCTCCAGACATTTGAAGTCGGCACCACTTGCAGACAATGTGACCGTCTGTCCTGGTCAATCCAGGAGAATCGAGTAGAATCCACATACAGTAAGCAGGTTCAGGAAGAGGGTACAAAAGACTGCACAGAAATCAGTAGCTTTTATAGATATAAACAACAGGCTCTAGAAGATAAACAAGTGAAAAAGACCCATTTACCTTTGACAGCAGCGATAAAAGTAACAGGAAATAATCAAAACCTATTTGAGGGAAACTTTAAAGCACCCCAGAAAGTTACAGAGAAACTGGAACCACAGAGAGACTCCTGAATGCATTTTACAATCCAGTGTAATCACCAAGTCATAGCTGTTGATGGGATTTAAACTGCCCAGAGCCACTTCTTTTTTTTTTTTTGTCTTTTGTCTTTTTCCGTGTCCGGCAATGGATCGCAACCCTCAG